TTTTTTTGCAGAGTATTAGACAGTTTAATAGATTTCGATCAACATTTTTTTCCTAGCAGATCATTAATGGATTAAGTTAGGTTAAGAGAGTAGAACACAAGCACTGCAATACAAATGCTAGTAAATTTGATAAAAATCCCGAAAATCTTAATTTTCGCCATTTATTAGTACAGTTTAGCAGCTGTTAGCTTTTTTTTTTGGTGGTGACTATTGTTTTAGCTGCAAAAAACCTGCTTGATTGACTGACTAAGTTGATGAAGACTGTTTAAACATTGTCACCGAACTGAATTAACCAAATGCTTATTGCTGTTGCTTGTCTAACAAAATATATGCAACATAATGCTTGCTGTCATCTAGTCAACAGATTTTTTGGCCTAATTCAAAATTGCAACATGTCAAAAAGGAGGCATATATTTATGCTAAATTTTGAACTATGTTTGAAGATGATAACTTTAAAACTGTATTAATTTTGGTGCTACAACTGATGCTTAGCTTAAATGTTTGGCAGAAGATATCGTATATAATCTAGGAACTGTGCTGATTATACAAAGAATTTAATCTATGAGAAATCAGTTTTAAGTGTAAGTATTAGTGCATCTGCGTCCGTGTATTTATGTGTGCCAAAATGTATAGAAGAAAAGCGGATAGAAGTGGTGTCCAAAAGCAATGGTACCAACAGGTATTATATCAACGAGTGCTCTACCTAAAAATAACAACAGATGGAAAGGAAAAAGAGCAGAATCATTTTTTGACCATTACCAATAATTTTTCTACCACATTTAATATTATTAATCTTTTTAATTTCTTCTAATTTATTTTTTTTAAATTATTTTTTTTAATACAGTTATTAAAATGTACATAGCATCTTATTTTGTCGTCTTCTTTTTTTTTTCTCTTCTCTTCTTCATCGTCATCTTTTTCGTTCTCTTCTGTGTCTTCATCATCACAATTTTTGTACTATTAATTTAAACCAGATTAAAAGCAATGAAAAAGAACTGTTTTCTTTTTTGGAAAAAAAGAAATGATTGAGTAAAATAAGCAAAAGCTTTTTTTTTTTTGCTGTTTTCCTACAAACTTTCATTCATTATAAAGCGTTCCCTCTGCTGGATATAATTAGTTTTAATTCAAACTTTGTCTACAATTATTAGTGCTAAAGAGAAGAGGATGAGAAAGAGGAATAAATGAGATAAGCTTGTTTTTCTTTTCTTCAGTTTAATTGTCATCTTTCTGGTTTGTTTTTTTTTCCTAGCATTTATTACTCATAAGTTTTTTTTTTTTTTAAGTGGAAACAGAGATATGTGATGAATGGAACTGTAATGTAAAGAAAAGCTTTGTTTTCTTGCATTTTTTACTCATCTCTTACAAATTAGGATAGAATAACAGCAGTGGTAGCATAAAACAGTAAAAATGGTAGGCAGATGGGAAGTAAATTTTTTGCATATGTACACCTATGTGCACTTTGGTTCCATTTTTTTTTGTTCATTTTTTTTCTATCAAATACTATCATTTCAGCGATCAATTGGTTTTAATTGCTTTTGTTCAATTAGGTAGTTGCGAATCTATGAATAACTATAGAAGTTTATATTTTTGTTGTGGTTATTCACTTTCTTGCTTCAAAAAAGAAAAAAAAGAAGGAGAACAGCCGAAGCAGTGATGCTAACAAACGGAGGAGGTTGTAAATATACACCTAAAAGGTGTTCTTATTGAGTATCAGCAACATTTGACAGTTATTAGTAAACTGTACATTTCAATAATCTGCCATAAATCATAAACAATAAGTTTAGCCTTGGTTCAGTTCAGCTCAGTTCAATTCGGATCAATTTAGTGCAGTTTTTCCTTTTTTTTTT